CTGCTGCAGCTGCTTGAAGGCCCTTATCACATGGGGTCTGGGGTTCCTGTTTCTATTCCTCACCCAACCCCAGCTCTCCCCTCCTTTGCTCAGAACTAGTCCTTTTAGAGGCCCTTTGCATATAAAGGTTGATTTGGGCTGATGGTTAAAACTAACGTCTGACTGCAGAAAAGTAGAAATGAGCAGATTAAATTGGGGGGTGGGCAAGAGAAGTAATGTGATCTAGTCTGACATAGCCCTACTTTGCCATCTGAATGTATCTATGTATCTAGCCCAGGGGTAGGCAACCTTGGCTCTTTTATGACTCATGAACTTCAACTCCCAGAATTCCTGAGCCAGCATAGCTGGCTCAGGAATTCTGGGAGTTGAAGTCCATGAGTCATAAAAGAGCCAAGGTTGCCTACCCCTGATCTAGCCTAATGTCCTATTGTGTTTCCTGTATTTGTTTATCCATTCAAGACATTTTAATAGGAAGGCACTGAAAATGCATTGAGCCCTAGAACTTAATGCTGCGGTGCAATTTGCACTTTCCAGATGAATTAGATTCCAATTCCCACTTGCCAGCCAGCCTGTGATCAAGACCTTCAAAAATATTATTTTAATATTTTTTTTAAAAGCACAATTGAATTAAAAAAAACCCCAACAACTTCATTTACCTACTGAAATCCTCAGATGCAAGATGTGGTGGTGGTTTTTTTCCAGTCTAGCTTGTTTCAAACCAGGATCTGCTGCTCTTCTTTGCTTTATAACATGTTGTTTTGCCATTCTTCAAATTACAACATATTTTATAACATATTGTTTTGCCATTCTTCAAATTACAAACAGATCCTTTTGGCCTATTGCAGGAAACACTCCAATTTGCAGTTTATTTCTCTTGAGGGGACGGAGGAGGGAAGTAAGAGGTTTGTGGGACAATCCCCCCCAAATACTCCAAAGTACATTTTAGGTCACTAGCACTTAAAGGGGAAAATTCTCTGTTTACTCATACTTTCTTTGATTAAGGAAAAGGAGCAGCTCAGGGGGAAAAAACCTGTGCAGTCCAACTCTGCTGCGCACAATTTACACAGAAACTCTGTTTACAAAAAGGGAGAAAACTGCAATTCTCCAGCATGTGTTTTCTTGGGAAATATGGACGGACAACTGGGACTTACAAAAGGTAAAGAGGCTTTGACCTACTTCTTTTGAAAGTTAAGAGAAGCGTCTTGTCTTGTTGGCATTAGCTTTGCTGCTCTCCCTCCTCCCTTTCCTCTTAATGATATCCAGACAATGGATTTTTTTTTTTAAAGTGAGAAGAGCACATTCAGCATGGTTCACATCAGGTAGCCAGATGGGGACATGCGTCAGTCCCTTGTCAATGTTTACGAGTCCAGATGGCACAATAAGAGATAAGCAGAAGGAAAATGGATGGGAACCCAAAATCTATCTCCTGACCTGCAGGCCCTACTGGTAGAGTTGGAAAAGGCCACTTCATCCATTGAGCCAGAGCTCCACTCAGTGTTAGCATCCAAAGGAAAACATTCTCAACCAGATGGCTGTCTTGCTCTTGAATGCCATCTGTGAAGAGAAGCCCATCATTTCTCTGGTTAATGAGCTCCATAGGCTAATAGCGCTGAATTCAATCGAATTTTCTTTTTCCTGCAACGTCAAGCCATTCTTTGGTAGTTAGAATAATAGATCTTGACCTTCTTGGAAGGGATGTGCCTGAAATTTCCACACGTGAAAGAAAACACATTATGCCTTGGAAGTTTGGCTGGGCCTTTCCAGGAAGGGAGGGCATGATCTGACCAAAGCAAAACCAGATAGCAAATTAGGCAAACCTTTGGATCCCCTCTTCCTCTACACAGCAACACACTTTTTTTCCCCTCCTATATTCTGCATCTACTTGCCATACCAGTCCTAGTTCTCTGAAGCCACATCATCCTGGGCCTTCAATTTCTCCTACCCTGGATCACATCTGAGAGGACCTATGTGGTACAGATCCATGCACAAGACATGCACAAGACATGCACACATTGATTCAGCATATAGATATCAACTACTGTAATTGGTGCAAAGGACGCTCCATGCATGGAAGTCTTCACCACCTTAAGTTTTCTACGTATCATCCTTTGACGTCTTTCCGGCATGTTATCATACCCCTGGCTAAGATAAACATTCACAGCGCCTTCAAACTCTCTTCGTGGGATTTGATGTGTGTAGTTCTTGCTCTTCTCTGGAAACACTTGTTTGTCTGAATTCTTTCCAAAACTTTTTTTCAGATCTGGACACAATATTCAAGGTGGAATCTGACTAACACAGAATGAAGTGGAGCCAATTACTTCCCAGGACTTGGAAAATATTTAATTGATGCAGGCTAAAATTGCATTCGTTTTCTTGCAACCACGTTGCAAGCTGGATATAAGTCCTTACTGTTAAGATAAATATTTCAGGATTTCCCCCCCCCCCCAAGTTGAGAATTTTTGCATTTGTCTCTTAAATTGTTATGTTCAGCTGTTTCTATAACCCATCAAAATCATTTAAATGTTATTTCTGTCTTGTAAGATATTAATATTACAACAGTTATCTCCCCCATCAATTAATCCAAGTCAATGCCCTAGAATCATAGAATTATGGAATTTGAAGGGGCCATAAGGGTCAAGTAGCCCAATCCTCTGCAAGGTGTAGGAAAACCAATTAGCTTCTTCCTCAAGTGGTGGCAGTTCAGCCTCTTCTTAACAGTCTCCAAAGATGGAGAACCCATAACCTCTCTTGTAACCATTATATCTGGTCCTAATTTCTGTGGCAGTGGAAAATAGTTCCTGACCATTTTCTCTATGGCAACCTTTTTATATACCTGAACACTGATATTACGTCTGCTTTTGGTCTTTTTTCCTCCCAACTCTTTCAGACTTCTAAATCATGACCCAGAAGAAGCTCAGAAGTGTGTTAATCTTTCTAGCAGCCATCTTACACAAATGGCTCAGGTTTAGCCATTTGTTATCAATACCTGCATCCATTAACATGTGCATCCCATATCATATTCACATGAAACCTGTTATTCTTTACTTGCCAAATTGCTAAAAACAATTTGCTAAAAACATGGATCCCATTTTTTTTTTGTTTTAAGATGAGGTTTGAAACAATAGCTGACTGCCCACATGCACAGCAGGCATTTTAGAAATTAGTTGTTGTTCGGACTTGAAGCTAATCACCATGACATATATATATCTGCATTGGAGCAATAAATGAATGGTGGTCAGGAGAAACGTTTGGGCCCAAGGGCTGCATAAATTCAAAACGAGTAGGGAGCAAAGTGGAGAAAGCAACAAAAGGACCCGAAGCCATCATTTTGGGATGCTTTTAATAGATTTTTATTTGCAGGGCTGTTATTCAGTTAAGTCCAGTCCAAACCAAACATACACCTCTGCAACCCAAAGAACCAAGAAGAACAGCAAGAGCGGCTACAGCCCGTTGAGCTTGAGAAATCTAGTCAAAATGCAAACCCAGGAAATGAAAGTCACACGTCCTGCCAGCAATAACTAGGGCCAGAGAGAGTGTTTATGAGCCCCAGCTACAACTGCCTTGAAAGGCAAAGATCGCATTCTTCACAGCAAGTGTTTGGAGGCCAGTCCGACATGCCCACAATGGAAATGGGAGCTGGGACGGAGGCACATTTTGTGGTGGTGACGAAGACCTAGGAATATAAACTACCGAAGGGCAGAAACAAAGGCCGTAGGTCCACATAACCAGAGAGCTGATGTGAAGGGCCTCTTTCTCTCGAATGTTGCAAGGTTTGTCTGGGTGATGATAGGTTTGCTGTGCAGAATACTTTTGCGAGGGGAATCAAATGTGCCTTAACATAAAACAGTCCTAGCAGAGATATTGGGAATTTTGGATAATAATAATAATAATAAAAAAAAAATCTCTGGACACTTTTGAATGGAGAAGCCCAGGTATCAGAAGAAATAAGGAACTGGAGGCACAGCTAATATATGATTATGTGAAAAGTAGGCAGGGCTGTGTTCTAGAGGCAAGGCCATTTCTATTGCAGTCACTATATTCTAGAGGCAAGGTCATTTTTACGCAGGCATTTTAGTGAGGTAAGACAAACTCCGATTCCAATATATGCTCCACTTATTGTGTTGATCCTGTGCAGTCATTAATAGACATGAGTAAAATGCCTAGATATTTTGCCTGCTCATAGCTTTGGATCCCAGGAAATTGCTTTAAATATAAAGGGGAAATAGTGTATGGAGACTTGGTGCAAATAACTGCTTGTGAACTGTTGCTTTCCCAGTCCTGACTCAGCTGGAATGAAGCTGCTGTAGGGTTCCAAACCTGGAAGTGACAGGAGGCATATGCTTCCTGTTGCCAAACCAGGATGAGAATCATCTTCTCTCTTGCCTACCATAGATGAAGAACTCAGGGAATTGTTTTAATCTGTGCCACTAGGTATATAGGGCAAGAAATGGATGAAGGGGCAACCAGAATCATCCCTGCCTGGTTGAGAAAAATGTTCTCCCCCACCCACTTTCCAGTGCTGATGTTTAGCCTGGGGCTTTAAAGCCACAGTATGTCCTGCGATCACACATCACTCAGTCTGAAGCTATGGTATACTGAGAGAGTGGACCAATGTGGCTCAGGCACCAGTGACCCAGAAACTCTGGGGCTAAATGCAAAGCATGTCAAGAGAACAACATTACACAAGCTAGCCCTGGGGGGACCAAGTCATCCCTTCATCACTACTGCCTAGCCTCACTGACAAGCTTAAGGCGGGGAAAGCTTGTGGCATGCAAGCTAACAGGGCCACACGGCCATGAGCCCACAGAGCCAATGAGCCACCTGTGCGACTTCAGCTCAAGGGAAGCAGGACCTCTGGCTTTCTACAATACTGAGAGCAAAGAAAAGACAAGGCAGCATAGTGGGGCCATCTTTTTTTTTTTTCCCACCGGGACATCCCGTTCCAACTGCAAGCTGCCACCTTGTAAATGGCAATTGAATACCTGTGATATGGGTCCTTTCCCCCCCTTTCCTGTCCTGCCCCGCCCCACACAGTACATTATCCCAGGAGGAAGAACAGTCCTGCCTGGCTAAAGGTTTGCCTCTGTATTTCTGCCAGTTGGTCTGTAATGGCCGCCCCGATCACCAAGCCAAACAGGGCCTAGCTCCGTGGGAGGCTACACATCTCACAATGATCTGTGCCTGGTTGGTTCATGAAGGTGCAGTGCTGACAAGCCCACATTGAAGAAGTTGTTGCATGTGTTGAACTGCCCATGGCACCATATTCTTGGAGTCCTGGCAACTGAACACCCACTGTGCCTGAAAAAGTGAAATGGAATAAATGGGAGACAGAAAAAGCTCCAACAAGCAGACATTTTTTTGGGGGGGGTCTGGAAACTTTACGCTAGATAATTTCTAGAGTAAATGCAATCGTCCCTAAGGAATATTCCCATTCCTTGGCACAATACTGTCTAATTCCTTCAACAGATTTCTACAACTATATCCTCTAAAAACCCTCCTTTTCTATCATGCATGAATTAAATCACTGCTACTGTATATATATATAAAACTACTTGGCTAAAATGTGTAAAGTTTTGTTTACTTGTGTAGTACTAAACTGATCCCCAAAGGTGGTTTCAAATCCAAATTCCAACACTAGAGAATTTGATGTACGTAAACAAAAGCTGTCCAGCATCTTTGGAATGAGGTGACTCAAAAAGAGAAAAGATGTTAAACATACTGCAAAGCTGCTCAATGGTAGCCCACTGTTCAGATTTTTTCCAGGTCTGAGCGAGATCTTCATTCCGGGTTCTTACTGCCTCCAGCAACAAGCTGATACTGTCCTAAAAGAGGAAATAAACCACATCACAACCCTATCTACATTTAAAACAAAGGATTAATGTACCACATTCCACTAGCTATAAATGTTAGTAATATAATTAAGCTATTTAACTACACAAAAACCATTTTTTTTGTCAACTGATTTACAATTTCCAAAATAGGCTGCACTCTATCTCTTCTCCCACTTTTAGGACATCTAAAAGCATGGAGCAACAGTAAAAATACATTTTGTTTCCTGACACCTAAATATGCCATAATGCCATTTCAGGTATTCTATTTCCATTCCAGTTTTAAAGGCCAATTATTCTAGAAAGAAGAAATGAAACTTTGTACTGCCTCATTTAGCAGCTCTGCATCTAAACAGTGGCACTGTATTGCATGTGTGCTGTTAGTTCCACTCACATTGTGCGCCATGATTGGGTGGCACAAATGAACAAGTCAGCATAGTGCAGACACGTTTAAGAAAGGAACTGCCAGCACAGAAACAGGAACGCATTTAGAATATTGGTATGAGCAAGAATTCATGAATGAAATATCATGCCCCACATCTCATTAAGCATCGACTGTTGCCTGACATTCACAAGCAACAATATGCAGGATTACATTAAAATGGCATCGCTGGAAAAAAAAGAAGAGGTTTTTTTTGAGATTTAAACAGCAGATGGCACTACAGACAAGTTCTGAGGTGAACTGGAACAATATGCACTGTCATTTCATTTTTGTTCTTGAGCAAAGTGGGCTCAGGAAATAAAAATGTTTCTACTGGCTTCATAAAATCACACCTACTGCATAAATGTCAGAATTTGCATTAGGGTTGCGCACTGGATTTGTTAGATATCAGATCCTGATGTATATGAATAATCAGGAAAGAAAACTGTTTTGAAGGCTAGGAGGAAACTCACCCCCCAAAAAAAGTTACTACAGCTGTTAAGTGTCTGTGGAGATTCTCAGTCACCCAGGTCATGGTTGTCCCAAAGGAGCTTTTTCACGAGACAACTGGACTTTCTTGGGGTTTTTTTAAAGATGTTTCGCTTTTCATCCAAGAAGCTTCTTCAGCTCTGACTGAATGGTGGGGAATGGAAGGATTTATTTCCTTGCAGACCACTGGTCATTTGCATTGTTTTAGAGAGTTATTGAGGCCACCTGGAGGCTTATCTGTGTCCTCAAGATCATCTGAGTAATGCAAAGGGTGTGGAGCCTTCTTGGAATTCCTGAAAGGACTGTGTTGTAGACTGGAGATAGATGATGTCCTATCCCTCCCCCTCTGCTGAGAGAGGGCTGTTCAGTTTTGACATAGGTGGCCTTTTTGACCCCTCTTTCAAACCAGCAGTCCTCTCTGCCCAAAATGTGGTCTTTGCTGTCTTCAAAAGAGTGGCCTTTGTCTTTTAAACGTAGATGGACTGCTGAATCTTTTCCTGATGGCTTTGTTGTGTCATGCATTTATGAAATGGTTGTTTTGTTTCCTCTCTAAAAGAATGCAAATGGCCAACAGGCTGCAAAAATATAAATCCTTCCATTCCCCACCATCCAGTCAGAACTGAAGAAGCTTCTTGGATGAGAAGCGAAATGTTTTCAAAGAAAAACAAAGTCCAGTTGCCTCTTGAAAAATACACCTGTTTCATTACACTGACCTAACAGCAAAGTTACAGGAACTGTTCTTTAAAAACGATGAATGAGGCTTACTTCAAAAATGCCTGCTCTAATTTCTATAAAATTTAGAAAGGTACCTCTTCAGGAAGTTCTGGCTTGCCTGCAAATTTAACCCCATTCTGCTGAAAAACAAAACTCCTTGTGCTTTCTGTATTATAAACTACAGAATTCAGTTTCTCTAAATCAAAAGCAGATGGGAAAAGCTACCTCCAGAATTATGCAAACTTGATGGGAAGTTCCTAAAATGTGCATCCCATATTTTATAGTTAAGACAACTGAATTATTGCAATTGTACTTCATTATCATAATGACATGCAATAAACCTGGTTAATTACCCACTGGCAGCTCAACTATTCCATACATGATTATAGTTCTTTAAACTCTCTAGAAAATACAGGACATTATTACTTTTCCTGCCTTTTTTTTTAATGGAGGGAAAATATTTCAGATTTTGAAGGCAGGGAATTATGTTTATCAGTGGCCTAGCAAAAGTTAGCAAATAGGGTAGCCATACCATGGATTAAAAATAGACAAATCCTTAATGAGATTGCAGAATTGATCTTTTACAATAATAATTTCTCATACATAAAATTTAACAACATGCCTAAGTGTCAAGCTGGCTCTACCCAGTCTGAGAGGCAATTGCTACCAACTTATTTCTCCAAACAGTTCAAAATTGACTACCACACTACCAATCTAGAAGCCACTTCTAACAAGTCAAGATATCCTGCTTTAAAGTCAGGTATGTTTAGCAATCTTCTTAATGTAAGCTTTATGCCTTTCTCTGAAAATAAAGTCATTACATACCCTTAAAGGCATCACTTCATTGGTGACCAAGAAGAGGAGAAGATGGAAATCAGAGATGATGTCAAGGAACACAGAAGAGGTATTCTGGGACAAATATGTAGCTAGAATGTGAAAGTCCTGCAAAGATTGACAAAAGCAGACTTTAGTCAACTGCTGACCCATATGCTTCGGACACCCCTCTGTCACAGGGCTGCAAAAACTGTTCTCTCAACAGCTGCACTTAAAAGTGCACAGGACCCAAGCAGTCAGATGACTCTTTAATGATGTCAATTCCAACTTTATTATTTAAGTTTATAATTGTTTAAGCATTTAATTCTTTCTCCTTTTTGCCACAGTATTCTCGAACTAAAATACCTGCAGCCTTTGTTTTTGTTTTTAGTAAAAGTCTTATGATACTAAGAGTCTTTTCTCAGGATCACAGCACCCTCTGCTGATGAAACTTCCAGCAAGAATGAATGGACAGAAATAGCAGCCAGGAAGAAAACACATCAAATTTAAGAGGTATGCAAGAAGACAAAGAAGCTGGAAAATATAGAGACAAAGCAGAAGGCAGGCAGAGAGACAGTAGGAAAAATTGGGGGGGATGTGGAGGCAGCAAAAGAAACAGCAGGTGGTTGGGATGCAGAAGGCAGGAAATACAGTACTGTAGAAGCAACAGTAAGTAAAGGCTGGGAAGTAAAGGCAGGCTCTATTAGATATCCCACCATGCCATATTCGGCCTGCAGGTTTTGCATTTGGGCTCTTCTGTAACACATTCCCAGTTCAGAGACCAATTTCACACGTTTTGTTCTATGAAGACTGCCAATATTTGTGATGTAAAGAGAGCAAATGAGTGACACTCTGAGGTTTTTTGTTGTTGTTTTTTTTGCCAAAGAGCAACTTGATAATTACCTCCCACATCAAGGAGAAGTTAGATAAAATTTACTCTCTTGAGGGAAATTTTACTGTGTTTCTTTTCAAGTAAGTGGCTGGTAACAATAGTTCAGCAGAACTCATGAAGACAGTTGCAGAAACCTATACTGCCTATAATTCTCATTCCAATGTCTGACCAATGGTGTAATGCAGGAGTCTTCAAACTTGGCCCTTTTATGACTTGTGGACTTCAACTCCCAGAATTCCTCAGCCAGCGTGCCTGGCTGAGGAATTCTGGGAGTTGAAGTCCACAAGTCATAAAAGGGCCAAGTTTGAAGACCCCCGGTGTAATGCCATTCTCAGCAATCGACAGATTATGTGAGCTTTCCCAGCTGGTAAGAGTTGACAGTGAAAAGCTGAAGTAAGCTAAATTGTTTTTAGATCTAGTAGTTCTTCTCTATCTCTATGAACATGGCTCAAAAGGGGGCAGCAGGAATAGAAAAGATAGCAGAATTCGTTTTCTTCCTCTCAAAGGACCATATCTGCTTAGTGTTTCCTTTCCTTTCAATTAAATATTGCAAAGATCTTTTGTTTGGTAACAAAAGTCAAGGCTACAACCGAAGGATCATGCATTTACAAACAGGTGTGCTGAATACTGAGACACAATTTGTAACCATGGTAGACATTTTACTCATGGTAACACAGACACAAGCTTTTTCTGATTTCCAGACATAGCAAAAACTTTATTTTACATGATTATGTGCAATCTGTTCGCCTAGAATTGCTTAAATTTTCCACAAAACTAAAAAGGGGTGAATTAAACCTATTTAGCATTTGTAACTAAGCCAATTTTTATGCATGATGTAATCTGCTTTTAAATATTAAAAACTAAATAAATGCCATTGTATAGATACTACCCTTCATCCAAACTGCTATTTAACCTTACCTGAGTTTCTCCCAGTACATCACGATTCTCAATAGGGAATGGATTTTGAGAAATAGAAAATGTGTAAACTGGATCTTTTGGAAATGTGGTAGTAATCTTCAAAACAGTAAAAATAACAACTGTTAAAATTCAAATGACTAATGATGTTAACAGGCAATGCAAGATACAGGGCAAAACCCCTATCTAGGACAGAGACACAGGTAATGCCTTTAAAACAAAGACAGATAGAAAAATTGAAAGGACGGATCTTCCAGTCTCTTTTAAAATCTCTCATATGTCTCCCCATATATTTTAGCAAATATAATTCAGTTTTGCCTGAGGTAATTAAGAATCAGTTCACTTCTGACAAAAGGACCATATTGCCCAAGACTTCTGAGACCTTCAAAGGCTTAAATTCCTACTGCTTTCTAGACTAGAGGGAGGTAAGACAGCTTATTTTTTTTTTAAAAGTATATAGGCAAAACAAAAAGTTGTCTTTGTTAAGAAAAGCTATACCTTTTGCAGCCCTATTTCTCCAACAGAAAGGATTCTACACATATTGGCTTTATTGCCTCAGGCATGCTAATATTACAGACTATTGCATTTTAAAAATGAAAAAGTGTCGTATACCCCCTGATATTGCATAGGATAGATGTTAGCCAACAAAAGGCTTTTTAATCAAGGAACAACACAATTTGAAATCAAATCAAAAGGCACAGAAATAAGTTACCGTATTACGCAATCAACCAATAAATGATACAGGTTTCAGAAATTCGGTTTCACTTCTTGACAAATGCATCCTAAATGCATGTTTCTGGCAATATGTTTTCATCTTACTTGTATCCCAGATTGTCCAAAAACAGATTCTTTTGTTGTTGGGTAATAAATTTATTGGACTGTCAGTTGCAGCAGAAAGTTGGGAAATAGCTACCATCTTTTCAAAAAAGCAGTATCTCAGTGAATGGATCAGCCAATTTCAGTTTTGAGTAGCAATAGACAGACAAATACATACACTTAGACTGTTTCTTTCTCTCTCTAAACATATACATACCCATGTGGGGAGTGGGACGGGGGCGGGGGGAAGAGAGAAAGGAAGACAGATAGACAAGGAGGCTGAACAAGTGGACCTCTATGAATTCATAGCCTATCAGAATCTCTGGCTTAAATTGGTGCCACAATTATTTCTTTGTATCCCGTCTTTATTATTTTTACAAATAACTGAAGGCGGCGAACATATCCAATACATCTCCTATTTTCCCCATAATAACCCTATGAGGTGGGTTGGGCTGAGAGGGAGAGTGACTGGCCCACAGACACCCAGCTGCCTTTCATGGCTAATGCGGGACTTGAATTCATGGTCTCCAGCTTTCTAGCCCAGTGCCTTAACCACAAGACCAAATTGGCTCTCTGAATTACATATTAATCTCTATTTTATCTTTCTACATATTACAATTGTATTTTATCATCTACTGATTAATCACCTTTGAAATGCATTCTTTTATTAAGTAAAATACCTTCCCATCATTTAATGTCAAATCTAAGGAATATATAGGCGCCATAGATTATTAATCAAAGTTATTAGCTATAGAGGCAATATCAATGATTTTTAATTCATCTTTCTATCCAAATCAAGTGTTTAAGAAATAATAACATAAATAAAATAATAAACATGGAACATAGGATAAAACAAGACAATTAATTATACAAAAGTAGAAAAACAATTCAGTTAAAACAAAATATAGGAATGTTTATATTTGCCTCCCAAATTCAAAGTCCTGTTCAACAGAAATTCTACAGCAAAGTCATGACTTGTGTTAGAAAAATGAAAAATGGAGGAGCAAAAAGAAAGTAAGGAATATTATGAATACACTTTGAGTTGTAAAAATAAAGGTAGGATGTAGACCTAAATAAAGAAATAAAACCATATCACATATATCATATATTGCTTAATCATTTCTCTGAAAGATACAGCACACACTTGTTCTCTTATAGATGTAATCACTAACATCTCTGTGACCATGACACTTCCCACTTATTTAACATACGAACATAATTCTGTAGGAGCAGTGAGATCCTTTGAGCAGTGTGTTAACATGGAAACTAAACACTCTTCTCAGATTTTACACAATCAAAAGAAAATTGCAATCAGAAAGCTATGCACTATACTTGTTAGCATTTACCTTTCCAGTAAGGAACTAATATGACAAGAGTCTCCCAATTTAACTTATGGAGAGAATTCTGCATATTTCTATTCAATGTTTCTGTTTCCATTAGCCAAAGTAAAAAGTAAGCACAATTCATACTTACATCTATGATTAGGTACTCAACAGGGAGAGGACGAGCTAGCTGAGTGATCTCATTGCCAAACTTGTCTATATCCTGGAACAAAAGCCATCCCAAATGGTTAGGCAGAATAATTAACCAAGAATTACAAGAGAACAATAGTTTAATGGAGGGAAGAAAAAATTAAACAGACAACCAGGGGCCCATTGGTCAGTTCCCAGTATGTCATCTAATCACCAGCAAACTGATAGGATTCTTCCTATCTTTGATCCACCTGAGGTAATGGATATAATCAAATATTAATACCCTTAAGTAAATGCTAACATTCAAGTATCTTTCATACAGTTTCATCTCATGGTACCTAAGTAACTAAAATATGAATCCACATATTTAAATTTATAAAATAAATCAAAATCATTTAGGGGTTCTAGTTATAAAAACAGACCATGTAAAACATGGGTGTCAAACTCGATTGTGTCACATGACATATCACGTTTTTTGCCTTTGCCGAGCCAGGGTGGGCATGGCCTGTGTGTAATGCATCCGGCTTGCAGGCCGCCAGTTTGACACCCCTGATGTAAAACCAGTTTTGTAGTATTTTAAAATATTTATCCCATTTTTTCCTCTGAAAAGCAGTGTATAAAACTGATTATACCATTAACTGCATGCTTTATTTAAAATGTGTAGATACCATCCCTCTCTCTATATATTATTTTTTCCTTAAACTTTCTTGATACCTCGCTGATGTACAGGTAAATGAGGTTAGAATAGCACTGCAGTAACCTAGCAAGGTAGTCTAAGTGACTTTTATCTATTTTCTTGATGTGTTGCATTCAGAAATGCTACGGGGAGGCCAAAGGTCCTAGAACTGTGAAGATAATTATGTACAGTATTCCCAACTTTTGCTTCACCACCACAGGTAGTCCTTGACATGACTGGTCTCATAACAACCATTTGAAATTGTGATGGATTTGAAAAAAGAACACCCGTCCTTGAAGTTACAATTGCTGCCACACCAACTCTGCAGTCACATAATCACATATTGGGTGCATGGTAACTGGCTTGCATTCACAACCACTGCATGTTCCATAGTCACATTATTGTGTTTTGTGACTGTTTTGCTGTTTTGCACCTATTTGACAAAATGGGGTTGCACTTGCGACCATGTGGTTCACTTAATGACCAAACAAGTGATTTGTTTAATGACATCATAAAAATGGTAATAATATGATAGATAAGATAAT